ACACACACACACACACACACACACACACACACACACACACACACACGAAGCAAACACAATTTAACAACAAACAGGACTGAATCGCTAAAGTACACGCAGACTCTTCTTTCATAAATAAGGCATTTGAAACTACCAAAACAAGGATCCAAAACAAGGATTTGCATATGATAAAACCTCTTATTGACCTTGTCTTTTAGAACTAAGTCTCTAGCATTCCTTAAATTGAGTTGAACAAGGAGTCGGCCAGCTAGAGGCAATAAGCCAATGAATGAGATGTTAGATTTACCACTTTTGCCATGCACGAGAATTTCTATCTTTGTTGCAATTGTACTGTTTGAGGCCAGTGTTTCCTATCACTAATATCATCATGTCTATTTTTAAATGTTCTCTTTGTTTTGTAAAATTAGGGGAAAACATAATAAAGCAGTTCAGCAGTTACATGAAATCTGCTATGCATAAAGGCGAAAGCTCCACCAACATGGAGTTGTTGGTAGGCAAGCAGCAACATCAGGAAACAGCTTGAAGGAGCAATCATGGTTTACCATCCAGTAGACAAAGGCAAACTTCAGGGTTTGAGAGGTGACCTAGGGTGGCCCTGAATGAAAGTCAGGGTTGCTTTAAAGTCAAATGCACCAAAGCTGGAAGCACTGTGTTACCATTTAAAAAGCAATTAGACAACAATGTAGGCATAAAAAATAGTGAGGTGAACCAACACCAACTGTGCTAATATGAACTGAAGTCTAAAATGTATTGTTAGGGCTGACCAGTTAGCTCACATGGGAGAGCATGATGCTGATAATACCAAGGTCAAGGATTCAGATCCCTACCGGCCAGCTGCTTAAATAATAAATAAAATAAAATGTATTGTTAGTTGTAAAAGGCAAGAAGCTCAACAGTTGTTTACTTACTGCTCCTATTTATGTAAAAATCTTTTAAAAAGTATATTATCCTATATGTGCATTGATAATTTCTGTAGAAATACCTGAGAAACTGTTAACTGAGCTGCTTCTGGACCAGAAGCTGAAGACTTGGATTTTTACTCTGGTGCTGCATATTACTGGGTGGGGGTAGCCCGTCTGAGGTGAGGTGACACATGCTGGCAAATCTAGAGCTGTGAACCAAATCTGGATGACCCATCCGTGAGTTGGAAATGATTTTGTAATTTTAAAGGGTTGTAAAAACAAAGAATATGCAACAGAGACCATATGTGGCTTGCAAAGCAAAAAATATTATCTGGCTATTTACAAAAAGAGTTTGCAGACTCTTGGGTTCAGGATCAGAACATAGTTAGCTGGGCAAGAGCTAAGGCTCTGGTTCAGTCTGCCTGGGTTTGATTCCTGGCATTACCATTACTAGCTGTATGGCCTTGGGCAAGTCAGCTAAGCCTAGTTTTCTCAACTGTAACATGGGGATGAGAATAATACCTCTTCTTCATGAGGATGTTGTGGGAACATAATAAGAAAATGCAAGTAGAACACTCAGCAGGGAGCCTGACATACAGACAACCAACAAGTGTCAGCTATTATCTTTGTACGATTGGTAGCAGGAATTCATAGGAATGCTGGGAATATCAACTATATGTTACATGCATATAGCATGTTATTTACAGATTGTAAAGTGCTACATAAATTATTTAGGCAGAACAAATGTACGTAAATAAAAAGAAGTCTAAATCATAAAAAATCTAGGCTATTCATAAAAAAGTTATGAAAAAAAAAGCAGTAGATTGTTCTAGATTAAAGACAACTAAGACCTGACAAATATCACAATGTGTGACCCTGGAACGAATTCTGGAAAAAATGAACAAATAAACACAGGAACAAACAACAGCCTCCAAAAAGCTAAAAAGGATATTTTTGGAAAATATGAATGTAAACTGAATGTTAGAATGGCATTATTAAATCAATGTGAAATGTTCTTGGGTGTGATAATGGTATGTGGTTCTATAGGAGAATCTCCTTGTTATTAGGAGACACATAATGAAGTCTTTAGGGGTGACATGTCAGTATATCTGCTATTTATTTCCAAATGGTTTAACAACAAGAACAAAGTGTGTGCCTGTGTCTAAATATATACAAATAGATGCACACAAATATGAAAAAGTTTCAGAAAGTGGTGAATCTGGATGAAGGATACACAGGGGTTTACTGAATTACTTTTCCCTCATTTTTCCAATGGCTTGAAAAATTTCTAAGTAAATAGTTGGGGACAAAATTCTAGAGTAGTTAAGATTATTATAATCTATATAATACAGGATATCATGAATTACTCAGCCATAAATTCCACTAGTGACATTTATTATTATTATAATAAATAACAATTTAATTCCTATAAAAAGTCTCCTCATTTAGTAATTGTTTCATTTCCTTTTTTTCCTGTGCTACTTAAAATTAAAATGAGGGTGGCAAGATTAAAAAAAAAAAATCAACCTTGACCTTCACTTTGTGTCTGAGTTAATTTCTTTTTTGGTAGTGATTTTAACTTCCTGAATAGTGAATCTTTTTGATTCACAACACAGACCTGAAGTCTGTATGAAAGTTCTAGCTTCGCTCACACAATACACAAGTCAACGCGGAAACAGCCCGTGGAGTGCCCCCTGTACACCCAGCACGGGAGGCTGAATGGGCTCTGCTCCTGGGAAGCGAACTCAGAAATCAATCAAGGCAATTGTGAGTGACACCGAGTGTCTTTAGAGTCCAGAGAAAGAAGAGATCTGGGTGGGCTGAGGCAGAGATGCACACCTTGCTTAAGAGGTTTGTTGGCTGGTGAATGGACACCAAATGATGGATTGTGTTGTCAACTGTGTAAGCTGATTTCTTATTGCAAAGTCATTTTTACCCACCTCTAAATCAAATCGGTAAGGAGCTTTATAGCACATCTGTTTCCTACACTTAAACTTAAGTTAAACTTTCTCATCTCACACTTACATGCTACTAGTATTCATCCTTTGCCTCCACAAGAAACTCAGGACTAAAACCGGTGCTATCCTTAGCCATCATGGGTTGTCCACAGCCTCTCTCCCACCCCCTGCCCACTGCCCCCAGTAGCCCCCATCACTCACCTTGGGCGCACTGTCCATGATGCTTGTTCCTTTCACGTGAGCGATGTGCAGTGGCTCTTTGGAGTTCTCTGGCTAAAATCTCCAGCTTTAGAGGTAGATTATGCAAGGTCACTGCATACTTCTGGCTGGTTCTCAGAAACCGAATTCCATAGAACTATCTGACAACACATGGGAAACTGTCAAAAACATTCTCCCAGCAGGCAAACTTTCTGGAAAGTATAAGAGTAAAATGAAAGGGTGGAGGAGGAGGAGATGAGAAATACAGGCCACCCTCACTCAATGCCTGACGTCTCACTTTGTCTACAAGTAGAGATTGTCACTCATTTGCTATGTGAAACCACAAAAGAAGAAGGAGGAAAAAAACATGCTACTCTTCTGCTTTATAGTGTGAAGTTCCTACTTTGAAAAGCTCGGTGTGTGAACACACAGCATTCCTGTCCCTTGAACACTGTGGAACAACTCCCACTGAACAGACCAAGCTCATTTCCCTGATGAGAAGCCACAAGGCCACATTTCTGATAGTGGTCGGCACTTCTTCCTTCCTGCTCTCTACAGCTTGCCTTCCCACAGCCAGGATAAAACCAGTCAAGCGGGAGGCCTTAAAGGACGCAGTCCCCACTCTATCTATCCCTCTTACTACACACGCTCCCTGCTCTGCACCCCTTGCCGCCTCCTGGTCTTTGCTCACAATACTTAATGATTAACATTCCGGGAGTGCCCGGTCTGCATGAAAAGCTCCACTGAGCACTGCACTTGTGTTCTCTCTTAAATCTAATAAAACAGTCATCTGTACTTGAAACCACTACGCTAGCTCATGTGGCTCATCATTACTTGCCAAGTCTTTTTACTTTCCCTAAACATCTAGAGGACCTACTGTGTAGCAATCTGCAGAAGAAGTTTGCATTTTTACTTCATTTAAACAAAATGCTACCCATTCTTCCAAGCCTGGCTCCAGTTCCATCCCCAGCCAGCTGTCTCCTCTCCTTGCTCCCTTCTTGCTATTACAGCACTGCCTGTCTTGTCTTCTGGTTGTCCCATGTGTGGTCCCCACAAGCCTGAGCACCGGCACATATTTACCAATTGAAATAGCTGGCTGATTTCTGGCTGAGACCATCCATAGTTTAAAATATTATCATCGTTGGAAACTAACTTCGAGGGCCACGGATGGGAGCAGATAACAGGGAGAGAACAATGTCAGAATGAACACAAACTGACAGCAGCAAGTTCAAAGTGGAGATCTACAGAGAAGACAGAGATGGAGAAGAGGGGAGTGACAGAGGGAAGGTTTCACAAGGAAGATGAGATGTGAAAGAGGCAGGGAAGGTCAGTAGAGAGACAGAGCTGCAACATTATGAATATGAGGAAAAAAGGGGGGAGGGGATGGGAATTAGTAAGTTCCATTTAAGGAAAAGAAGCAGATTCACAGTGAACGGCAATGAGTGATAAGGGCTGAAGTTATGAATGACAGCCTAGCCTAACAGAAGTATTTTATCCTATGAGTCTCTACAGATATGACAAATAATCCCAACAGCACTACTGCGATTCATAGAGCTAGTGATATTAGTGAGGCCACCGTGGAACAGCAGATGATTTCCATGCTGTGCCATTTGAGTCTCGTCATATTTCTCAGGCACGCCTCTTTACTCTGTTTTCTTCTAACTCATCAGCTCCTCCCTGATGGGTCATGCAGTGTCTCAGATGAGGAAGACGCAACTGTGTTATCAAGCCAAGGCTGAAGTTCATGTTGCAAGGGTGGGAACCTATTAGACCTAAATTCCATGCTTCCAGTTTTATATACTGTACCTATAGGAAAAACATTTTTAAATAGGGCAGAGTTCAACCCAAATATTCCTTTCCTGCAGTTCATTATTTTCTAAAACAAGAATCAATATTCCTAACACTTAGTGGCCAAAACAAAATCTAGAAATCTAGTAACATACCTAGAAATCACACAATTTTAAATCACAAAAATGCAAAAAACAAAAACAAATTTGGGCTGGCCAGTTAGCTCAGTTGGTTAAGGCACGGTGTTATATTGAAGTCAAGCAAAGGTTCTGATCCCCATACTGGCCAGCGGCATCTCCCTCCCCCCACCCAAAATAATGGTAATTCATCATTTATTTGGGAAATAGAAGGAAGACAGCAGAAAACAAGAGCTTAGATTAGAATAGCAGGGCCAGGTTGGAGTAGAATAACAGGACTCAGAGCCAGCAGGGTCAGAAGAAGGGCTCTTTTATTATTCATGCTTTTTCAATGGCATTTAACAACTCCATGGAACACACTTTTTCTTTTTCTTGTTTTAAAGGGCCCAGAGGGTGGGCTGATTAGCTCACTAAGTAGAGCATATTACTGATAACACCAAGGTCAAGGATTTGAATACCCTTACAGGCCAGCTGCCAAACAATAAATAAATAAAGGGCCCAGAAACTATTTTATAATAAATACTCTTAATGTAAGGCTCTCTGAGTAGGGACCTCATCTGTTTGGGCCACTGAAATTTCCCCAGCATTTGAACAGTGCTGGGCACATAGAACTCTAAAATTTTTATTGAGTGAATAAATGAATTTCGGTTTTATGTTGGTTACCAACCAGGATGTACACAATGCCAATAGCTGGTATTCACTATACAGTATTATTATAACAAAGCTTACGAGTTACAGAAGTCTTTTGTTCTTGCCCCTCCAGCATCCCTTTCTCTTTCTTGTGTTAAGAGTCCTTTCGGCGCCTGGTGAAGCTTTTAAACCAGAGGCTGTTCCAGGCTGGCCTACGTACCCATTGCCCAGACACAGCAATTGGTTTACACATGATAAAAGGAAGTAATTCCAACCAGGGTCAACTGTCTTTGGGATCTTGGGAGAGACGTTCCCCTCTTTGTGAGGTGGTGAGGTGGAGGAGGAGGAATGCCTGTGGCAGGCCAGGCACTCTTGGTGGACGGCTCTGCTCCCATGTGGAAAGTGTCTGCCAGACAGTGATGCCCACACACACACAGGCGGGCAGAGAAGAGGAAAACCCCAGAGACACAGAAGTGCTGGGATTCAGCCGGGCCTGAAAAGCAATCTCTAGGCTCACCTTAAGTGCTGGGTTTCTGAACCCTGTAAACAATAGCTCCTATTTGCCAAGTGCTAACTGTGTGCCAGGTACCGTTCTAACCACATGGCAGATATTAACTCATTTAATCCAAAATGCAGACTTAAAAGGTAGCTACTACTATTCCCATTTTACCAAGGAGAGACAGAGAGAGAGAGATTAATTTTGCCAAATAATCAACCCAGTTTCTTCAACAAATAAACTGCAAGGGGGAGAAAAGACAGGTGGAATCTAAAGACAAAGAGACTGACAAAACACATCAAATCACAACGTATGGGTCTTATTTGGATCTTATTAAGCGATTAAAGTTAACGTTTGTGTAGGTGTAATGATGTTATGATTGTGTTTTTAAAAGTCCCTGTCTTTCAGAGACTCATAACAAAATATTTATAGATAGAATATATGAGACTTATTGTCATAATTCAAGAAAGAGAAAAGTTGATGGAGGTAGAGATAAAACAAGATTGGCCATGAGTTGAAAGTTGGGGAGTCTGTGTGATGGATACATTGTACTGCAGACATTCTTTAAGAGTTTAAAAACAGCTTTGGTAAGATATAATTCAGGTACCCTAAAATTCACCCTTTTAAAGAGCACAATTCCATGGTTTTTAGTATAATCAGAGTTGTGCAACCATCACCACTATCTAATTTTAGAACATTTTCATTACCCCCAAAAGAACCCCCACCCCCATTAGCAGTCATTCCACATTCCCTTCCCCCAGCCCCCGGCAACCACTTTCTACTCATAACAAAATATTTATAGATAGAATATATGAGACTTATTGTCATAATTCAAGAAAGAGAAAAGTTGATGGAGGTAGAGGTAAAACAAGATTGGCCATGAGTTGAAAGTTGGGGAGTCTGTGTGATGGATACATTGTACTGCAGACATTCTTTAAGAGTTTAAAAACAGCTTGGGAGTCTGTGTGATGGATACATTGTACTGCAGACATTCTTTAAGAGTTTAAAAACAGCTTTGGTAAGATATAATTCAGGTACCCTAAAATTCACCCTTTTAAAGAGCACAATTCCATGGTTTTTAGTATAATCAGAGTTGTGCAACCATCACCACTATCTAATTTTAGAACATTTTCATTACCCCCAAAAGAAACCCCACCCCCATTAGCAGTCATTCCACATTCCCTTCCCCCAGCCCCCGGCAACCACTTTCTATTTTATTATTGACTTTTGTATACATTTGAAATACTCTATAATTAAAAAATAAAAAGAAAGGAAGGATGGACACACTTGCTCAAGGTCACACAGTGAAGTGATAGGGCCAGAATTTGAACCCAAGTCTCTTGGAAAAGAAAGACCACACTAACTCAAGTTCAGATGATTCCCATCACCTGGGCAAACTTCTGGCAGTGATTCTTCCTCATAATGAAGGGCTTGGCCAGAAAGTCACAATACAGGTTAGAATGCTGTAATTTGTGTGTTATTTTTCTAGGGAAAACCACATAGACCTGAAAATGAAACTAAGACACAAAAGTAACAGGATTTGGCCCTGAAATTAGATTAATTCCTATATAGATACCTAGTATTTTGTGTGTTAGTCTGGTATTTGACCCCTCAATGATTTTTCTGAATGAAAGAAATGAACGTGAGAACTGCCTTAGACATTTTGCTGCAATCAACTTGCATCTCAAAGCAAATGGATCTCTTACATGCATAAATATTGCAAGAGCTGATTATTCTTGGGAAATGTGTGCTTTTGTAATAATATCCGGCTGTCTGAAGGTTGAAACAGAGTTCAAGAGAAACAAGTAAGGAAAACTCTAGTGAGATAATCTCAATGCTCTTGACAAATGCACCGAGAACAATTATTTTGGACTATAGTTTCATTTCTGAGTGAATCTGATCACTTCGTTTCTATAGCTCCTAATAAATGTGTAGGATGGCAGATTGCTTTTGTTTTTTTGTATGCTCTTATACTGTTTTCAAGTGGACTTTTAGCTATCAAGTTCCTTGACTGGTATTCAAACACTGGGCACTTAATACTTGAATTATAAAGTACAGCTGCACCAGACCTAGAATCTTCAAAACATTAAAGACTTGGCCGGAGGGTCGGCCGTGGCTCACTCGGGTGAGTGTGGTTCTGATAACGCCGGGGCCACGGGTTCGGATCCCATATAGGGATGGCCGGTTAGCTCACTGGGTGAGTGTGGTGCTGACAACACCAAGTCAAGGGTTAAGATCCCCTTACGGTCATCTTAGAAAAAAAAAAAAAAAACAAAAAAAACTTGGCAGGAAAGTTCAAACTGCACTGCTTTGAGATCATCTGAGATTACCTGGCAGATTTTAATCTCATGAAGGTAATTCATAAAAATAGCTCTTTTGGTCAAAGTAGAATTTCATAAGTTGCCAACAAATTCACTAAATATCCTAGTGTAGGAATAATACAGGAAGGACTGAGGTTCTGCAGCTAATATGATTATTAGTGATAATTCAGTTTTATAGCCTGAATTTTGATCCCCAAGTTGAGAGGGAAAAGGAATCAGAGCAAGAATTGAAAAAAAGGATGTGAAGGAAATGCTGCAGGTGCAGAGAAGCTGGAGGAAAAGGCTAAATGTTGGCAGGAGAAAAACAGGGCAGAAAGTAATCATTATGGGGTGAGCAGAAAGAAGGTGGGGAGGAGTCAACTGGCAGAAAGTTGACTGAGAAAGAGGCTTCATGGAGGAATAAGACATCTCAAAATCTCCAGAAAAAAGCCAAAAGCATTTAAGTAGTAAAGCTACTGAAATGTAGTTTTTTGTTTTACTTTTATTCAAATCGACTCAGTCACTTTTGAAAGTCCCTTGATCCTTGGTCCCATTTTAGTTCTTTAAACATATCTACACATTTAATACATTCTGCATCCCATAATTTCACCGTCTTTTCATGACTTATTCTGTGTTTCTTGTTTAGCTGATTCTCATCACGGTGGCTTGTTTCCTCACATATTTGATTGTGAACCCACAATCCTGAGCTTTATCTATGGTCTGGGGTTGTGTTCTTCTGTAGAGAATCTGTGCTGGCTTTTGCTAGGCACCTGTGGCCACTACTGATTGGAGATTGCTTTCAATTTTCCACTTGATTTTCTCCAAGTAGAGTGACTTGTTACAAATGTGCTTGAGAAATGGCTTCTCTGAGAAACTGGATTCTCAGAGAATCTTTGGGTTCCAGGCTTTCTGGGTTGTGATCAATGTTCCCACCCCATGAAGAATCAGAGCTTTGACTTCTGCTCAGAAATCATTAGGCTACGAGGAGTTGACAAACATCCCTGGTGCAACTGTCAGCTCCAGCACTTTACAATCCTCAGGATTTGTGCTTTCCTATTTTTTCCTCTCAGAAATTCCCTCACTTTCTTGCTAGATCAGCTATCTACTTAGAGATTAAAAACAAATTCTATCCAAGTTTATACAGAAAGTATCTGGTTTGCCATATTTTCAGAAACTGAAGTCTCTTCCCTAAAAGCAAACGTTTTCCACCTCCCCCAAATTTGTTTATATCAAGATGCATTAAAAAAAAGGAGCTTCACTGGTTGAAGTGCATGTTGGAGAATATTTTGATTAAGCTCTTTAATCACAGAAAAGGAAGCTGTAGCCCAGAAATGAGTTGCCTTATTACTTACAGAGTCAGTATAGAGCTCCCACATTGCACTGCCTAAGGAGAACCAAAGTTTAGGGCAAAAAATAGCTTTTTCTGAATGATTCAACAAAATTAAATTATACTGAGTTCTTAAAATTCATAGCAAGTAGAAGAGTAAAGATATAGAGCTAAAGGTAATTCAGCTACAAAAACCCAACTTCTAAAAACACAACAACTAAAGAAACAGTGTGAAAAGTACTGGGAATACAGGAATATTCAAAGCAAGATCCAAAAAGATGTACTAAGTTTAAATTATCATTATATACAAAAAATTTATTTTAGAAGTCACATATCTTTAAAAAATAACATAGAAGGTATAAGTTCTTATCCTGACTGGATATTATTTATCATTTGGACACCAGGGTGTTGTGTGGTGCAATTAATGAGGTGCAAATACCATGTCCATGTGATTGATGTTCCCAGTATTTATACCAGCTCAAAACATTAATGTGACTTTTAAAAGAAAAAAAAAAAAAAAAACTATTTTGAAAACATCCAAAAAGTATCTTGCGCTCATAAGTCCTGAAACTACCGATCCGTTGCTGAGTATTCCGAAAGCTGAAAAAACTAGGCATTATTATTTCAATTAACAACTGAAAAAATCCAATGGAACTCATATCAGGAGTACAACACGGTCATTTCAATACATGAGCCAGAGCAGAACAAAGAAATATTAAATTTCTGCTTTACAGTTTCATAGGTTGAAAGCAAAAGGAAAATCAGAAAAAGAAGTGGAGAGTTTTGCCTGGTAATTTTTTTTGGTAGAAATGGTTATCCTTGTTCCTATTCAGTAAGTTTCTTTTAATCTTATAGAGTAGCACCCACATTCAGATCCCCATACTGGCCAGCTGCCAAAAAAAAAAAAACCAAAAAACTTGCGCCCACATACAGCCAAGTTCAAATATTGGAGAATCAGGACACAAAACGAAACTATAAATTTACACTTACTATGGACCAAAAAATATAGTTCTTTGAAAATCTGAACTAAAACCCTGTGATTTAACACATTAAAAATGCTAAAAACAGCTTTACAGACCAAGGAGTTAAAATGATCCTCAAGGATGACTAAAGAATTTTTATGCAATAACTTTAAGAAGTTCCTATAATATAAAGCAATTACTTTTATTTTAATCTATTTACTATTTAAAAAAACAATCCCAGATCATATTTCTAGATACTTCTACTCAGATTATGAGGTATTTTTTGGGGGGGATAAATATAAAGCAAAGTCTATGTTTATATGAAGTGGGTTTGGGGTTCTCTGATATAGCTAGAACTAAATCCAGAGATACTGTCACTTTCCAAAAAGCTTCAAGAAAGAGAAAACTTGTATCAGTTGGTTAATTGCATAAATCTTCTAAGGATGCAGTTACCACATGCATCTGTGAAGAGAAGTTAACAGTTCATGCTGGAGAACTGAAAAGACTTAAAATTACATAATAGTCAATCACTATTAATCATTTGTGAAGATAAGCAACACCTGATAGCACTAGCTGGCTCACCTAATTTTGATTAGAACAAATATATTTTCAATTGTGTTTCCCATCAAATTGTAATAACCTTATCAGAAATACATTTACTAAAGATAAGCTCTGCAGGTACTGAAAGTATCATGTGGGAGTATGATGAAAGATACAGCTCCTATAAATCTTCAGGAAAAACTGGCCATTAATTTTATTGAGGTGAAAAATATATAACACTAAATTTGTAGATCTGAACTTTATTATCAGAAAGATGTCATTTTAGAATAGACTTGAGAAATTCTTGAAAATGGTTTCAATATGGCACAAAACTCCATATTTTCAGAGCTGCATGCCTACCCATCTGCTAAAATGTATCCGGAAAGAAAATACACAGAGAGTGTGGTAGAACAGGCATAAAAGTTGACAAAAGAACCAAATGAAAATCCCTCATGACAGACTGAGATCTAGAAAGCACTTTAATGCTCTATCCTTCTCCAAACGATCAAGAGATTAAAAAGAAATGGCAAGTCCTGTATTTACAAAACCGATGAAAATCACACTGTAATCAGTGAATGCAGAACAACTGCACAGATCTGAGTTTCCAACTTTTTCCACCATGATTCCACATCAAGGTAAAAAGATTCTTTTGTACAAATCCAAGGATGTAGACAGAGGTGGCAGGACAACTGCCAAAGATGATAGAACGAATTACTACTGAAGCTGGTGACAGGACCCAGGGGGAGGGAGGGCAGAGCCCTCAAGGAAAGAACCCTATTAGTGACGGCAGCTTAGTCAGTGGTGGATCTACGGTACCAAAACCGGGCTCTGAAGTCATCACTGCATGTCATGAACCCAGGGTTGGTGGGCGAGTGCACTATGCAGCGTACAATGTTGTTGTGCCCCAAGGACAGCAGGTTTCTCCGTTCTGCTGTCCTCGAGTCCCAGCAGCAGAGGCTGATCGTCCTTTCGTCAGGCAGCAACACATAGTCCTCGGTATGGTTAAAGACAGCCTGTGTCCGGTGCACCTGTCGTCCGCTTAAACCCGCGCCTGCCACAGAAATCAAGAGGTTAAGGGCCTGCGAACCGAGGGATAGCTTTCTAAGTTCTCATCTCAGACTCTCAGAACATTCTAGTAACAATACTAGTAACAATCCTCTCAATGTAAAAACAGCATTTTAAAACTGCTGAAGTAATACACCTTGTATAATTTTGGAAACTAAAAAAGTATAAAAAAGAAAATCACCACTAGGCCCACCACCTGAGGCAACACTGTTAATGCCCAATGTACTTCCAGGCATGAAAACACATTTTTAAAGTATAAAACTGATGCCACATTACGTATATATTTTTCTACCACAGTTTAAACCTTATGTTGGGTACACTTTTCCAAGTTTTTTACTAGCTGCAAAGTATCCCATGTGGAGATAATTACATCACCTACCACATGGGTTGTTGCGAGGATTAAAAGGAGGTAATGCACAAGGAGCTTTGCAGTATACATGCTCAACAAATGTTACCATGAGTATTTTTAAAGGCTGCATGCTGCCAATGGATGCATAACAGATTTACTGTGTGCTTCTTGGTGGACATCAATATTGTTTCTAATTTTCAATTACTCCAAATAATGTTGGGATAGACTCCCTTTTATGGCCGCATGGGCACGCTTGTCTAATTATCTTTTTAGGTTGAATTTCTAAAGAGTGGATATAGGGGGTCAAAAAATATATATTTAAAATTCTGATATGACTCCAAACTGCCCTTCAAAAATATTTTCCCTCTTACCAATAAAATGTTGATTTCTTCATATTTTTATCAATATTAGATAATATCGATCTTTTACATTCCTGAAATTTGATGAACAAAAAAAGATACTTCCATTTATATAACTTAGGTTTATAGTGAAGTTGGTCATCTTTTATTTACTGACCATTATTTACGTATTTATTTTGCAGCTGGCCAGTACAGGGATCCTAATCTGTGACCTTGGTGTTACAAGGCTGTGCTCTAACTGAGCTAACTGGTCAGTCTTATTGACCATTTTTATTTCTTTTATAAAATGGCTCCATGTCCTCCGGCCCTTTTTCTGTCAAATTTGGGCTCATCTTTTTCGTATTTATATGGTCTCTTTATAGATTTGAGCTAACTGGTCAGTCTTATTGACCATTTTTATTTCTTTTATAAAATGGCTCCATGTCCTCTGGCCCTTTTTCTGTCAAATTTGGGCTCATCTTTTTCGTATTTATATGGTCTCTTTATAGATTAAGAGCATTAACCCAATGTCTAACGATGTACATATGCTATATACTTCCCCTAGTCTATCATTTTTTTAATAGTATTTTTAGTTAATTTTTAGCATAAAATTTCTAATGCTTTCTTGACAGTTTTTTGTTTTATTTCACTTTTCAAGAACCTTTGAATTCTAACTAAATATTAAAACCCGAAACAAAAATCTTAATGTGCTGACATAACTGGGTCTTGATCTGTGAATCAGAAAAAAGGAAAAAGGGAATTTGCATATAAATTCTGTATAATCCCATTTTTAAAAAAACAAATTCCAATCTACCATGAACACAAGAAAATCAACCACATACCACCATAAAACAATCCATTCATAAAACAAATGTAAGTTCTTGTTAGCAGTGTGGTGTGCATCTGTCCTAATACAGCACCTGTCCTCTAAACAGCAGTTGTTACTTCTAAAGGAGGAGGACCCTTTCACATGTTTACTCTGATCACTCTTGTAACTTCTTTTTGCAGCAAGCACACAGTTCTTCAAAAGTAATGAGATATTTTTTAAAAGTTTCATATAAAAAGTGTTTCAATGAAGTCACCAAGAATTATGATAAAAATGGCTCTTCTCAAGTCTTGCTAGTTGTACTATATACACCAGAAACCAGAAAGATGGCAGGGAACTTTGGTTATGATAAAGTAAATCTAAGGTAGGTTATACTGCACCCTAGCGGTTCAAATATCACCAACTCTTCAATTTTCTTCTCGAAGATGCTAAATTATTAACATAGCAGAGCCCCGCTTTGAGTTTTTTGAATTATGGTCATGGTGATTTTAGAGTATGACAGACTATCTCACAACAAAGGAAGTTTCCTGAAAATTCTCTACCAAACAACAGTCTTTGTTGCTACAAAGAACAGAATAAGACAATATTTTAACACACAGTATCAAATAAGCAAACTTGAATCCTGATTAAGGTGCTAAGATAAATTTAAATATATCTCATTATAAAAAAAAGCCAGCAGGCACAATTATTACCAATGAGAGAGATCAACACAAATTAATGAGAGAACGCAATGAACTTAATTTTGGTTTTCAGTCTGCTGAGCCCACTTTATATTTGGGTTCAGCATATCTCATTATAAAAAAAAGCCAGCAGGCACAATTATTACCAATGAGAGAGATCAACACAAATTAATGACAGAACGCAATGAACTTAATTTTGGTTTTCAGTCTGCTGAGCCCACTTTATATTTGGGTTCAGAACACTTGTCTTCATTTGGGGGCTACCTCTGCTCTCTTAGGAATGGGCCAAGATCTTTCCTCTTTAATGCATAAAATTACTGAGATCCACTAAGTGAGGCTTTTCTCTGGACTCCTTTCATGGAAGAAGGCAGACTAGTCTACAAATGGATCTCCAGGTTCTCAAATATTAATTGCATGGAATCAACCTAGTCTAAATTGTGATGTCTTGAGAAGAGCAAAGTTAGGAAACCACGGTTCTATTTCTAGCCCTGCCTCTTACTAAGTGTAGCCTTGGCTGAACAATTTAACCTCTGAGCCTTGATTTCCTCTTATCTAAAAGAGGGATAACATCTGCCTTCCTCAATGCATTGTGCCGCTCTACTGCAAGGAGCTAAAAGAGAGTTGAAAACAGTAAAATGCTACAGAAATGGTAATTAATATCAATTTCTCACATACCCGTGTATCTGACCAGTGTTCGTCCTGTTGATATTTCCCAAAGTTTGGCTACAGAGTCTTTTCCACTTGAGAGAATGTATTTAGAATTTTTGGAAAAAATGGCAGAGCAAACTTCAGCCCCGTCATGTGCTTTCTCAAAAGTTGTGATGCAGCGATTTGAGACACCATCCCATAGTTTGATGCAGCCATCCTTGCTACCAGTTACATACATATTGGCACTAGGATTGTAATTAACGGAACATATTGCATCAGTGTGTTGATCTTGAGGATTGCAAGAGACAAAACACTGAAAGGTGTTGATATCATACAGGCGAAGAGTAGGATGCTGAGTTCCAACAAGTATAAAGTCCCCAGAAGGATGAAAAGAGATGGAGCGTAACATTTCGGCTTCCTGTTAGGACAAAGACATTAACATAAGTGACCAACTGGTGAACAATTAAATCCAAAGGAAATGTGGGAAATATCTGGCTGATGCAAAGAATCCACAAAGCAATTAGTAGCTATTACACAGGTATCAGAAGGAATAAAAGTGCTTTCTGGAATACATGAAAGTATCTCTTCAACAGGTATTTCCAAAACTATATAAGAATATTTACGGATTAGATTATTCCAAAAACTACAGAAGTGAGCTTCATTATTTCCATATAAACACTAGGTGAACTTAGAATGGAATATTATCAATCTATGATACATTCATGGTGGTTACTGAATGAAGATAAACACAACTTATATATAAGAAAAGCTTCTTCAATTTGCTCCAGGGCTGCAAATATTGAGTAAAAAATTAAGTTTAATTACTGAAAGATGGAAGCCGCTAAAATGTTAGTATTTCTGGAATGCATTCAAAATAGGATACTAAATATTACTTTTCCAGTGAACGCTTTATAGTTTTAACTGAATGCTTTTTCGATTCCCATAAATTATACTATAGTAAAGTTGGTCATGTTTTGTTTTTAAACAGAGACTTGCAACCTTTAGAGTGACATAGATTCCGAACCCTTAATGCATGAACTGTGACCAGCAGCAATCCTGACCAGCCAGAGGAAGCGGGCACACAACAGTGTGTGAACTATGTGCCAAAGAAATCTGATCCCTGTGCCATGCAGCATGTGTCCTGGTTGCCGTACTCTTGTTTTATAGGATGATCACTGAGACTGCTTTTAAAAAGAGAACAGTCATACAATCGCTCACTGTATTTAAGGTAAAGTGTAAAGTTCCTTTCCAAACTTTCCTAACCTGAATGTATTTGAAGGCTCTTTTTGCAGATGGTTTAGAATAATCAAATAATTTAAGCGTATAATCCCTTGAACCAGAGGCCAAGATCTGTTCTGTTGGGTGGAAAGCGAGACATGTGACTTCATCCACATGATCATAGAGAGTTCGAATAACTGGGTGGTTTTCCATATTCTGCTGTGCAGTCTCATTCATCATAACCTAGACCAACAAAAAAAGAAGAGATGCTCAAGGTAAAGGACCTGTCTAAATCAAAGTACACAATCTACAACTATGGTAAACGAAAGCTGGTTTAAACTCACTCTCGTTCTCCCAAGACTGAACAATAAAAGGCGAACAGTAAGTATGTTAACTGTGTTCTTACCTCTATTGGCATGGCGCTTTTGGCCAACATTCTTTCTGTGTCAAGTATCTTTATGGAAGCATCAGCAGATCCAGTGGCTATTAACTGCCCATCTCTGCTATAGGTAGCTACACGGCATGGTCCCTTATGGGATGTGACATAGCATGTTTCGTACTCGGAAGCCTCTGGGGACATAGTCTGGACATCTGCATCAAATTCCAGGTCAATCCCTGTGCCAGGGGCAACTGTGTCTGAACGACCAATAGCATACTGAACTGCGGTGTCATCATTTTCCATTCCTGAAAGAAATCAAAATTAAGGGCATGAAAAAATGCTTTCTTTAAAAGGCCAATACAAAGGTCAGGATCCAAACTGGAAAAATATTCACCAATGTCAACTTACTCTTTCTTAGAGGTGCATGATACCCAGTGCTTTACAAAATTATGTACACTGCCCATGCTATTCAAGGCTTACAACACTGTGAGACAACAGAGGTTGGTGGAAGGTTAGGTTTCAACAAAGTCATTTCTCTAGGCTCTTGCCTCTAGAGTTTACTACTTTAACTATGACTACAGAAACTAAAAAAAAAAAAGGCAGTCCTGAAGTTATCCATTTTTTTCCTCATTCCAATGTTTAATATTTTTAGGGCTGAGATCTGTTAGGAAAAGATAGTGTTGACATTAAAATCAGTTAAACATTTTTAAAAGAATGGTATTTAAATAAACTGAAGTTTATCAAGAATATGCATTAAATTAAATTAATTAATTAATTTACTTATGGCAGCTGGCTGGTAGAGAGATCAGAACATACATTTTAAATTTAAAAACAGGAGCCGAGGAGACCCACAGACCCAGGCGACCCCTCCCCCTTTGACCCGGAGGGAAGTGCCAGCTCGTGTGGCATGCCCCACTGAGGTGAGTGGGTCTGGGGGCTCATTCTATGGCCACGGATTCTGGAACAGGACCCAAGGTGGTATAATATAGCTACTACTACACCTACTGTCAAGCAAGGAAAATTCACCACCACAGTAAGAGCCAGGGCCACTCTACAGGTAACCTACTGATCACTCAACTACACAGATATAAAAAGAGTCACCAGTAAAGCCTGCAAATAGAGGAAGAAATCTTCATCCTCGTATCCAACCTCAGTGTAATAGAAGAAGCAAACCCTTTACCAAATGACCAAACGTTAACAAAAAATACTAGAACTACAAAAAAAACAAGATATGACACCACTGAAGGAATACAGTAATGCTCAAATTTCAGACTCCATGGAACAGGGAATCCTTGAAATGTCTGAAAAAGAATTCCGAGCAATGATCTTAAGAAAACTTGAAGAAATAAAAGAAGACTCAATTGAGAACACAATGAAACAAGAAAAAATATCCAGAATATGAAGGAAGAAATTTACAAAGAGATTAATACCTTAAAAAAAGAGCATAGGAGAACTTCTACAAATGAAAGATTCACTCAATGAAATAAAAAACACAACAGAGAGCTTGAGCAGCAGGGTAGAGAAAGCGGAAGAAAGAATTTCAGATCTTGAAGATGGTCTTTTCAAAATAACCCAGGCAGACAAAAAAAGGAAAAAAAGAATTAAAAATAATAAGGAAAATCTAAGAGAGATAGCAGACAATCTCAAGTGCTCTAACATCCGAATTGTGGGTATTCCAGAAGGGGAGGAGAAAGGAAAAGGTACTGAAAACCTATTCAAGGAAATAATAACAAAAAACTTCGCAGGTATAGGGAGAGATACAGACCTTCAGATCCAGGACGCTAAAAGGTCCCCAAACAGATTCAACCTAAAAATATCCTCCCCAAGACACACAAGCTCAAAGACAAAGAGAGAATTCTAATAGGAGCAATAGAAAAGTGTCAAGTCACCTATAAGGGAGCCCCCATCAGACAAACAGCAGACTTCTCAATTGAAACCCTACAGGCCAGAAGAAAGTGGAATGATATATTCAAAATACTAAAAGAAAAAAATTGCCAGACCAGAATTCTTTATCCAGCAAGGCTCTCCTTCAGAAATGAGGGAGAAATAGTGTATTTCCCAGACAAACAAAAGTTGTGGGAGTTCACCACCATACCACCAGCCCTGCAAGAAATTCTCAAGGGAGTCTTTCATCTGGAATCTGAATAATGATGACCACTATCACAAATACACAAGAAAGAGCAAAACCCACCGTTAAAACAAAAATGCCAGAGAGAAAAAGAAAGAAGCTAAATCATGCCACACTAAATTTCCAACTAACATTGAAGAAGAGAAATAAAAGGGGAAGTAATGATCAAAAGATACTTAAATCATCTAAACAAAAAGCGATTAAATGACAGGAATTAAATAATACTTGTCTATAACTATCTTAAATGTGAATGGATTAAACTCCCCAATCAAAAGACACAGATAGACTGATCGGATTAAAAACCTAGACCCAAGTATATGCTGTCTCCAAGAGACCCACCTCACCTGTAGAGACACATACAGACTAAAAGTGAAAGGATGGAAAAAGATATACTATGCAGGACTGGCCCCGTGGCTCACTCAGGAGAGTGCGGTGCTGGGAGCGCTGAAGCTGTGGGTTCAGATCCTATATAGGGATGGCCAGTGTGCTCACTGGCTGAGCGTGGTGCAGACCACACCGTGCCGAGGGTTGTGATCCCCTTACCGGTCAGAAAAAGGAAAAAAAAAAAGAAAAAAAGATACTATGCAAATGGAAACCAAAAACGAGCAGGAGTAGCTATTCTTATATTGGACAAAATAGACTTTAAACCACAAAACATAAAAAGAGACAAAGAAGGCCACTATACAATGATAAAAGGATCCATCTAGCTAGAGGACATAACAATCATAAATATATATGTACCCAATACTGGATCACTCAGATATATAAAGCAAACACTCTTAGACCTAAAGAAAGAAATAGGCCCTAATATGCTAATAGCGGGTAATCTAAACACCCTTCTCAGTATGGGACAGATCCTCCAGGCAACAAATCAACAAAGAGACACAGGATTTAATTTATACCTTAGACCAAATGGACCTGGCAGATGTATAAAGAACATTTCACTCAACAACTAAAGAATATACTTTCTTCTCATCAGCTCGTGGAACATTCTCCAGAACAGACCACATATTATGTCACAAATCTAGTCTCAGCAAATTAAAAAAAAAACTGAAATCATTCCAAGTATCTTTTCAGACCACAATGGACTAAAACTGGAAATTAATAATAAGCAAACCTCGGGGCCGGCCCGGTGGCGCACTGGATAGTGCGCCGC